GAAATATGCTGGACAGAAAAAAAAACTGGGAAACACAAACCCTAGAAAACTTAGCATGCTTGGCACTCTGCAGACCCAGCCCAGGCAAAGACCAATGCCTATCTTGTTCAAGACAGAGCAGTCTTCAGGCATTTGGATGCTCTGTGGCTGTAAGCAACCTGGTGCTATATCCTACTCTCAGCCCTCCCTGACCCAGTCCCAGGTAAACCGGCTGAACCCTCACTGTCTGTAGGAATACTTCAATACATTGTTATTAAACAGTGAAAATATAAGCACCCTTCCCTCCTTGGCACGTACACTTCACCAAAGAATCTTTAAGAGGTTCAAGAAACAAAACCCAACCCCAAACAATAACAAACCAGCGGAGACATTTACGAGAGAGACTTGGTCTAGCAGGAAAACAGAGAGGTTAATTAAGCTTTGACCTTGAGCACTTTCAGCTAACTTCAGTGGCTGTAGGCAGGAGCATGGGAAACTTAAGTAAGTGAATTTTGAGAACAGTAAGCAATATACCGTACAGCACAAAGTGGAAGTTTTACTTTCCAGGAGATCTTGAGTCTTGAAGCTGAGAGTCCATGTTTCTACCTCTTCCCAGAGAATTAGCATCCAAATACTCCTTTAAAAAGACAGAATCCACACATAACCTTCAGGATCGTCTCCTTTGGACATGAGGCCCCTCTGATGTCTGCACGGAACTGCTGTGGATATCCTATGTGGCGCAGCATCCCTTTATTTCCCATGGGAAACAATCATCCGCTCTCAGCAGAGAATAATTTACAAACTTCCGAGATCACTTATTTTCTGTTCTTGAGAGCTGACTACTCCCACAGTATGTTTGCCCCATGGCAGTAAGACATTTCTTTGCCAACGTCAAAGATCAATGTTGGTCATCAATAACATTACTTTAAACCAAACAAACAAAAAAAAAAAACCCAAACAAAAACCAGTCACCTACAATTAAATAAGGAAGGATTTCCCATGAGAAAGATTTGCTTTTCCAGATTGGGAACTGCTTCCAATAGGAGAAACAACTTCCACACATATTTTTTTTACATCTGAAAAGTGCTTCCTCAAGTATTTTGCTTTTTATCTTTCACAGATGGTCTTTTTTTTGTCTACAATGAAACCAGTGATTGCCTGAAGACAACATGGTCTTATTCCATGTAGTGTGTTTAGTACACTACGAAATGAAAAGACTCAGCTTGCTGCTCTAATTATGGTTTAAAAAGCATAATTTAGGAGAGGAAAAGCTATTTAAATTCAAGTTCTATTTACTTAAACAATGCACTGCTAGCAGTGAAAGAAAAGACAACATATATGATGTTTCAGTTTATGCTTGGTTAGTCAATCCTGAAAATTACACTGGCTTAAAAGGAAAAAATTTATGATGTGGTTAATAGCATTTTGCTGTCTAGAAGCCAGAAACTGGCTCCTCAAATTAACTGAAAAGCATGTGCTTCAAATATTTAATTTTCTGTTTCATTAATATTTATTCTTTAAACCATGACATTTATGTGTTGTGATTACATTTGAATGTATTGCTGCCACAAAAATTACATCTAAAGAGAAATGTATCAAAATAATGCATTTCTGAAATGGAGTAATTTCATAGAGTATCTTTAAATTATATTTCACAAAAATTGCATTACCCAGCAATGTCCTTGGGCTTTCTGAATGCATTCTCTCTTACCCAACAAAAAGAAACAGCCGTCACTCAACCAACCAGGTTATGCATACTATTATAGATTTGCAAAGAAATTCAGTACTGACAAAGCATGGCAGTTTGAAGTAACAGCACTGTATGGATACATCTTCCAGATGAGTAACAACTGCTTACACACAGCAAGCCAACAAAGTGCTTTGCATACAATCTTTAAGATGTGTATTATAAACACAGAATTGCAGTTATTCTCAGACAATCTGACAGGAAGGACAAGCCTCTCAAACAGACATTCTTGGAATAAACAGTGTAAAATCCACTCGGTATAAATGCTAACCATGTTTAAATACAGTTTGAAAAGCATCCTAATTTTGGACCCAGCATACAGATCTCTCAAAGAACAGAAGTCTATGCTTTCATACATGCTGCAAAGAACGGATTACTTCCTACCTTTAGACCAGTTCCACTTTTCCTGTGGACAATAATGCTATAACTGTATGCTGACATTTTTAAAGTTGCGTGGGAACAGTATGCAATTGCCATGACATGGTATTCTACAGTTCCACTGTGCCCTTTAAAAGTGTCAGGAATACATCACAAAAATACCCAAATTCACTGCAGTGCAAATATTTGTCATGTTCCCTCAGTCTTCCCAAGAGATGCTTTCTCTATCCCTCTTTACACATGAACAATCAAGAGATTTTAGACAAGCTCAGCAAGCCAGAGAACTGCTTAATGGAAACTGTTTAAGGAACTGCACAAAGAAACGACTTCCACATGTAATATAAAAGCTGATTTGATTGTGTTCCCCCATAAAGTCATGCAAATAAAGCAGGAGCAGTTGGAAGAGTTTCCAGAACTGATTAAGTAATTGAACCTAACTAAGAGAAAAGAAATGCCTTGACTCAAGGGCTTTTTCAAGATGAACAGACCTCTTTGACCTTCCCAGATGCACTGAGAAGTATTCAGATTAGGAGCAGTATTGTGAGGGACAAGCCTGTAAAGCTTCAACTCTTTCAGACACTAACTCAGCAGAACAACTACAAGTTTCAGATAGGCATTGAGAGACAAGCTTGAACCTTTCTCAGTCACCTTAGGGTGTCCACGTAGCCCCTTCTCATTCCCATTTGAAGCCCTGAAAGTTTTCCATACCCTCATTCCAACATACACACACTCACCTGCACAATATTTAGGAAGCTGTTAAAAAATTACTACAGCCCCAGTTTCTGGGAAACTCACTCCAGGTGGTACTGCTGCAAGTCTCTGGAGGTCCATATTCCGCCACTATCCATAGTTTCAGTAGGACACTGAAGACCCTGAAGAGAAACACCACCTCCACTTGTTCCCCTCTCAAGAAAACAAGTTGGTAACTGCCTAACCACAATCCAAATAACTCTCATCAGGTTTCTAGCAAGTTATAAGACCCCTCTGGGATTTACTTACCTAGGTTGCTGAGAGGCTGCAGACCACAACTATCAAGTTATGAAAGCTCAGGTACAATACACAGCTTTGCTTGCTCAAAGCTTAGGGTGAATGTTCCCAACTAAAATCACATTCTCATATCCATCAGTCTACAAGTAATTTATACACCCATGCTCTCTCTGCCTCCCTCTGATGAGTCTCTAGTAAGAGATGTATCCCTATTGGTCCCAAAATGCACAAGTTTGTACCATGCTCTTATTAACTGTAGTAAATAAAAGGCAAGAAATTTCAATATCACTATGAATAACTGAATTCTCCTCAGCACTAACCAACACCTTCCAGTGTTACGATGTCCACAAATTTACACAGGTTCCACAAGGATACACCTGGCTCTTAGGGTTATAATCAAAATATTAAACAGAACTGGCCTTAAGTATGATCCTCAAGGAGTACCACTTGTAGTTATCTTCCTCTCTCCCCTAGTAACTGTTCTTGCAATATCCATATACCCCTACTGTCTTTATATTAATCTCCACCTTCTTTATCTTACAGAATCATAGAATCGTTAGGGTTGGAAAGGACCTTAAGATCACCTAGTTCCAACTCACCTGCCGTGGGCAGGGACACCTCACACTAAAGCATGTCACCCAAGGCTTAGTCCAACCTGGCCTTGAACACCGCCAGGGATGGAGCATTCACAACTTCCTTCCATAAGAATTTCCTGTGAGACACAGTATCAAATGTTTAATTTGCAACAACTTGGATGAAGTATCTTGCACTGCCCTTATCTAAGGGTCAGTTATCTTATCATGGGAAAATATCAGATCAGCCTGATGCAGCTGCTTATGACAAAACCATGTTGAATTTCATCAATCAGTACTACGTCCTTTATTATTCTTTCTTCTTAAAACCTTACACCACACAAACAGACCTCACAAATTCCCTTCTTCCCTTCCTCCCCCTCCCCAGACATACACACACACCTCACCTTTAAAGATACTGCATCTAATTTTTGCCAGCTGGGGGATTCCACTCCCAAGCTGACAGATACGATGCAAACTCCCGCTGGTGCATTAGCAATCCCATGTTCCTTCAGTATTCCAGGGCACAAATTATTTGTACTCCTCTATTTCCATCCCCACCTCACCACAATAAACAGGTAATTGTTTTGTTTCTTTGTTTCACCTTTTACCACCCTTTTGAAAACATTCAGTGTCTCCCACTACTTTCCCAAACATTAACATTTACACACACCCTGATACTACCATTCTCGTTGCAAACAATGGCAGAAGAAGAAAAACAAAAAAAAAACCCACCATGATTTATTAATAACAATTATTAGACTGCCCAAGTTTTAATCCCCCTACTCACATCCCACTGAAGGCACCAAGAAAGTTATCTAATGCATGTCGTCACTCATGTTACTACCTGTTTTTTAACTCTGAGTCAACTTATTTTAACCAATTGTTTCAGCTCTTTCAGAAAAACAATCCATTTGAGTATAAACTTCAAGTTACACATTTTGTGATATACAATTTTCTGCTCTGAGGAAGTAGAGACAATGGTAATTTGGAATTTTATAGGGAAAAAGACAGCTGTAAATTGTGGGAGAGAGTGAGTGGTGTCTCTTTGTAGGCAGTAAGTAACTCTGCTTTTGAAAACTGCTATTAAGACTACTGAAGGAGAATAAAATAATGATCGTAAAGGCAAAATAAGGTTAAACTTACTTCAGAGAACTGAGCCACAGTACTGAAAACCATCATCTGCATATGTGCCTGCCTCAGACAGCAACACTGAACAGCCTGTGGTCTCAGATAGCCAGAGAATAGGTTTTGATTTCATTCACCCTGCTTTTGAAAGAGCCATTACCCAAAAGAAAGCAACTCTCTGGGCAGAAGCCTAGTGTTGTAGAACTTACATAAAGAGGTACTTCAGTGCAGCTCAACTCCATTGTCACAGCATCTAGAAACAGAATAGACCAGTGGAATTATTACACACCCATCAGAAGGCATTGATGTCATTATACCTCATTCATGTCTGCAAAGTAAGTCAACATCTTCCACAATTATAAGCAGGGGAAAGGGGGAAAAATATCAAGCTTATCAGCTACCCAGTTGCCCCAAATTTCCCCAGAATGAGGAAACACTGGTATAATGACGTTTATGGAAGGCTGGAGGAGGGATCTTTGTTAATATGCTGTGTGCTTTCCATACGATAGACACAGTAAACAAAACAGGTCAGGCTGAGCACAGCCAGAGACATTTCATAGTTGCAGCAAATGAAATAGTGGGAATTGCAGCATTTTGTATCTCTAGAGGCAAAAAACCTGACCTCAAGATGTAGTTGTAGCAACTTTTACTCCACACCAATATCCCAAGTGTTTAGTACTGTTTTTCTAGCAACTTCATAGAAAATATCACCAAGGCAGGTTGCCTTAGCTACCCTGAACAGCAAGCTACAGATACAACTCATCACTGGAATTACTGTAATTTTGGTCATCATAGCAACTTTGATTCCTATTGCTGTATTTCAAACTCATTACATCTTCAAAATTCATACTCTAAAAATGGTATTCCTGTCAAATGAGAAAAGCATACCAGAAGCAACTCCACATCTTCACAACAGTAAGGTGGGCTCAACAACTACACACAAGTCTTCTACTTGCTGAAACAGGCTACAACAAAAAGTCTGTCTTAAGAGGAGGCTGTCCCAGCTCAGATGTGGCCTTGTTTTCACAGCTGAACAGTTTCCAAGAACAACACAGTTGTGCAGTTCATTGCTTGTTAATTCATAGGTAGAGCCTGATATGAGTCAGATAGGATTTGAGAAGTTACCTGCCTACAAACTGCAGAAATTAAATGTACAGCGTCAATCAAAACAAAAAATGATCTACCTACCACCCCAAAACACCCTCCTTCTAAACCACAAGTTTGCTAATACTCATCTCCTGCTGCCCATCAATTAATCTACTTCATAAGTACCTACATTCTTGTGTTTTGACAGGTAATTTACAAAAAGGTGGCAAAACCCTTTACAAAATCACTGGCCACAAAAGTTCAGCCAGAAAACCCCAAACTTTTCATATTGTAATAAAAGGCTATCAAGACAAACACTAATCCAGTCACCCTAGTCAGCAGTGAGACTCAGAGAGAGGGTTTCTTATTTTCTGCAGAGAGAGGAGGTAACCCGCAGCTGACTCCAGGGCATCTCACTTTGACAAAGCTCTGTAGTTTCCAGCAGCAGCATCCTGAACCCAGCCTTAAAGACTGCAGCATGGGAAGCACAGTCCTGTTTCTACAGAAGAAAAGAGGGCATAAGAGAAATTAAGAAACTGTAACATTAATTCCACAAGGAGTATTTTAAGTGGAATTTTTTTAAAATGTCACCTTACAGAACAAATGAAGCACATTAACTTCTACCCCAGACCTGTCACCAACTTACAATTACTGCCACATACAGACTGTGTATATACAGGGCAACCCTTAATGGTTAGCTGCAGTGATAGATAAACCAGCCAGCCGTTTTACACCATCACTCTATTCTGCTGTGTATAATCCTTTCACTTGCAATAGTCCTCCATCTTTAAAGCAACACATTCAAACTATACTCTACCATCTCATTTGCAAGAAAATCATTATGCCACACCAACAGAATAAGATCTACTTCTGGTTACTTCTGTCATACAATTATCTTGACCTCCAGAGCCTCAAGAGACATATCTCAAGATCTTCCTCCTCTGCAAGAATGAGAAAGGCAAATGGTTGGTACCCGGTCTAGTCTACTTATACTTCCGCAAGTCTATGCAAGAAGGCATGACTTAGCTCTTCCTTTGGGGGATTACCATTGCACCACCAGTACAATAAGCTTCTTCTGTATTGGATAATACAAACACAACTCATTGGAGAGATGATCCATCCTGACTTCAGTTCCCTTAACCCTTTGTTTGTTTCACACTGGATCCCCTGTGAGCTTGTGCTTTCGGAAATAGTAAGTACCTAACTCAATATGGATAAATAACCTCAAGATTTAGCTTATCATATGCAATGAATGTTTTCCACACAGCACTGGATAGAACCACGCTGAAATACGGTCAGTACTTTTGACACGCACTGCCCTGACAAACAACTTTAATGGTGTTCTCTGGATACAAAAGTGTATCTAATGGTAGCCTTTTTGCTTCCTGCAGAAAAACCAATGAATGTCAACACAGCATTAAGCACTGCTTTTCTCACAATTGCAAGACTGCTTGTTGTTCAGAAATAAGTTTTACATGAATGGTTCTGGGACCTACAGTAACAGCTTGGATGCTGGAAGTGGCTGGGAGGGGCAGGAAGAAGAGGATACACGTAGGGAGGAAACACTCAGCTCTGGCTACAGAGCAGTTCTTGTACAACCTCCATTTCAGAGAAAGGGACTGAAGGAGACACTACATGCACCCTCTGTATACACTCACCTCCTCTGTATGACAAAGAGATGCTCAGCTCCCCAAAATGCAGGGGCCGTGTGGCCAAGTGGTGCCACACAGACAACCACTCTCAGGTGCTGAGGAGCAGTCCCACTCGGCAAAGCAAGGGGAGGGTTCAGCTGCCTAAGCCTGTGAATACCCATCATTACACATAGCAACAACTGATCTCTCCCTCTGACATCTGTGCCTCTGACACAGAAACCAGCAGGACAGCCATCTAACAGCCAAACAGGTCCAGTTTCAGGCATTGCCCACAAATCCTGAGCTCACACCAGCCTCAGCAGTAGCAGGATCCATCTATACACAGAAAAAAGAAATCCTTTTCAGCATCCAGTTTAGAAGTAAATTTAATGAAAACATCTATTGTGATATGCTGCAATAGACAAGCAGATTTCTGGAGAAACCTGCAAAACTGGAGAGACTTGTGGATTTCAGTCAAGTGGAGGTAAATATCCAAAAAAAAAGAACAAAAAAAAATCTTGAAAATAGTTTTCTTTAACTTTTTTTTTCTTTTTCAATCTACAGTCTCCTCTTAAATCTAGTGACAAATTGGCAGTCTCCTGATCAACTCAAGTTATTGATATGAACAATATTGATATGAACAATTCATATTGATATGAACATCAACAAGTATTTTGGCTTTATCAACGACGAAGACATTACAATAATCCCTCCAACGCTCTTCCTCACCCAGTATTTTATTTACTGGCTGTAAATTACAGGGCTGTCATATATCCAATTTCTTTCAACATTAGAAATTTTAGCATTTTATTGTATGGTTTTCCCTGTTACCAAAACATCTTAAGAGGGACCAGAATGAGAAATAAACCAATGGAAAAGAAAAACATCAGGTAATGACCTAACTGCATTTTAATGGAAAAGACATCAGTTATCAGATTATTTACTCTGCACACAGCAGAGAAATTAGGTAACGGAAAGCATTATCTAAATCTCAACAGAAAAGTATTTCTGCTGATTGACAAGGTGACCCTTTAACCGACAATGTGACTACTATCTGGCTGTCCTCACACCTGATACTGTGTATCATCACCATTTTCCTAAACACAGAAGGACACTTCCATACCCTACAGCAACCTTTCTCCTCTTCCCTGTAAATAAAGCACAGAACTGCAGGAGAAAGTTACAGAGGGTGAAGAGGGACTTTGATGCTGCTCTGTGACCCAGCAGCCACTGGTATGACTTCACTGAACTCAAGGCTCTGCTGCTGCCATAAAGAGCTTCCATGGCTCATTAAGCAGCATCAGATCACTGCCTTGCAAATGCCTGCAAAGTAAGAGCATTGATATAAAATACATATTTTATACTTCTCTTCCATGTATCAGTTCAAACATAACAAAACACGAGGTCTTTGGACCCTGCTCCCTTTATTTTCCATTCAGACCACAATCGCACACCTCTGTGCCACAACCACAGCTGCTGCTTCATACACTGCAGAGCAACTGACTGAACATCAAAGCTGTCAAGCTATGTAAACAAGCCCCTGCTGATGCTCTGCAGGAACCTTGAAATTCAGTTCTTGTTTCTTTAATTATATTTCTTTTTGGTGATGGTTACATTAAAACTTGTATCTATAAAACACTGAGAATTACAGTCTTACTACCACCATCAGGACAAGCACATTAAATCTTTACTTCTGATCTGCTACAGTGACATGAAAGCAAGGATGCATCCACCCAGAGGCCACTGGAAGGTAGGCAGGAATCCCCAGAGCATCATTAGTGATGTTTTAAAATCTAATATCTTTGTCTAAGCAAAATGTCTTGTGCATTGTAAAAGCCTAGCAGCACATGCATATTAAGTGGTCTTCTACTGCACTCTCATCCACTGGATCACTGAGTTACAAATTACCATTATCACTGTTCTATTACTTTTTTACCATGCTATAGCCTGTACGAGGTAGGTGCTACATCAAGCCAAAGGACAGCCTTTAAGATGGATACAAATTATCATACATACTGGTTTTATACTTCCCAGATCTTAATACCTTTCAAAATTAGTGAGATTCCAGTGTAGTGATCGCTGACCAGCCAGTTTCCATTAACAATGTTAATTCCGCTTCCCTCAACAAGCATGGCAACTGAATCAAACTGTGTTTTCGAACTGAGATTCCATCTGAGTTACGTTACATATGTACACCTAAAGCTCACTCACAGCTTCCCAAGCACCAGGAACTGCACTACACCAGGATCAGGCTGAAAGTGGTATGGAACATTCTTTTACATAGAGATCCTTGCTCTGGACAGGATTAAGAGACCTTGGAAGAATTAAATGAAAAGAAAAATGTAGTAAGCTGAAAATACACCTGTAGTAAATACTAGGTTCCCAAAGTCAGAATTTTAACCTGTTGCAGCCAAGGTTTCTGATCTTTCATTTTTACATGTGGCTCTCCTGAACATCTAGAGCACGGGGGATAGGGACGGGACAAACCAAAACCCTCAGCAGTGCTAGCAGCTTTGCAAGCACATTCGTTTAC